CTACTTTTTCACGCCACTGACTAGACCCCGAGATAAAACATAGGCTACTTTTTATCGCGAAAAAGGGGTTGTAAGGGGTTAAAAGGGGGGGGGGAGTTGTATGGGATTTCATAATTTTTAAAGATAAAACCATGAAACTTTATATTTAAGCACTTGATAAAAAATAATAAAACATTTGTTCTAGCGTTTTTGAAATTTCCACCTGTGAGGGGATGAAATAGGGGTTGAAAGTTTGTATGAAGTTCGTCATTCTTGAAGATACCTTACATTTTATATTTAGGCACTAATAAATAAACAAAAAATCGTTTGTTCAAGCATTTTAAAATTTACACCAGCGTGGGGGTGAAATAAGGATTGCATGTGGGTATTCGTCATTTTTGGAGATAAAACCATGTAACTTGGTACATGGGTCTCTTAGGATGTGCAAAGTTTTTATATAAGTAGGTACCAAAGGAATTCCAGAAATTGTAACTTTTGTTTTGTATCAATAAAAAAATCGACTTTTGAAGTATCTATCAACGCACAGCCCAAACCGCTGGACAGATTGGGCTAAAATTTGGCATACAGATAGATGTTATGACTTAGGCATCCGCTAATAAAGGATTTTGATAATTTCCACCCCCAAGGGGGTAAAATAGGGGATGAAAGTTTGTATGAGACTTTGTCAGTTTTAAACCGATCAGGTTGAAATTTGGCATGCAGATAGATGTTATAACGTAAGCATCTTCTAAGAAAGAATTTTGATCATTTTCACTCCTAAGAGGGTAAAATAGGGGGTGAAAGTTCGTATGGAACTTTGTCAATTATAAAACGATCTGGTTGAAATTCGGCGTGCCGATAGATATTTTGACGTAAACATCCTCTAAGAAAGGATTTTGATCATTTCCACTCCCCAAGGGGGTAAAATAGGGGTGAAAGTTTGTATGAAACTTTGTCAGTTTTACACCGATAGGGATGAAATTCGGCATGAAAGTAGATGTTATGACGTAGGCATCTCCAAGTAAGGATTTTGATCATTTCCAACTCCAATGGGATAATGTAGGGGATGAAAGTTTGTATGAGGCTTTGTCAGTTTTACACAGATCGGGTTGAAATTCGGCGTGCAGGTAGATATTATGACGTACACGTCCCTTTAGAAAGGTTTTTGAACATTTCCACCCCAAAGTGGGTAATATAGAGGGTGAAAGTTTGTGTGATACTTTGCCAGTTTTAAACCGATCGGGCTGAGACTTTGCATGCATAAAGTTACTATGACATAGGTATCTCCTTAGAAAGGATTTTGATGAATTCCACCCCTAAGGGGATAAAATAGGGAATGATAGTTGGTGTGAAAATGGGAATGAAAATTGAATCTAGAATCATTGAATCTTTTTGAATTACATTCGGTAAAACGATGATTTGGGACCTGAGTAACGTATGATAGTTTTTATCTCAGAAGTCCCTCGGGAACGGGAACTATGCGTCAATGCTCCAGGACTCTCTATCTTTTAACCACTGAACTTATTTCATAGAGATTCTGTACAACAGTCGAAGTTTTTATTACTCAAAACTTACGTGATCGGGCCGGGACTGGTAAGAACCCTGCGGGATTTTTAATTTATTGAAATTACGATAAATCATTTCACAATAGGTAAATCTTAATTGGGCACTGAATTGATTCTGATGAATTCTGTCAGAAGGCATTAATCTACGCGGACGAAGTCGCGGGCAACAGCTAGTAATACTATAACATTGTCTTGCTCCCTTCAAGAGTTTAGGCGAGAAATTTGATTAAACTAACTTTATGTTGCTTTAATGATTGGGGGTTTTTTAAGGGAGGAAAATCATCGTAGTAGTTGTAGTAAATTTTAAAGCCTAGTAAGTAGTATAGCTTGTACGATTTGAGGATTGAACACGAATCCATGTGTTTGACAATAGCGCATGTAGCCACTCGAACCAACAAGCAGAATTTAAAAAATAATTATCACAACATGATAATATCTATTACAGTGCATCATTATAATTATCCCATCACATATAAGATAATTATGTATGTGTTCTCTTCATCAAACATGTTGCAGGCAAAAATTGGAATCGGGATTTCCAAGTAATGCCACGATTCGTTGCGTTTCTCGTTACCTATTAGTCAAAAAGACTTATAAGGTAATTTCCTAAATGATATCACTATACAAGTTTTTCAAAATGACATGACATAGGTGTTAATGTGACATGGTGTTAATTTATACTAAAAAGCGTCAAAAGTTATAAAATTAATGAAGCGCAATGACTAAGGAATATACTAATGGTATATAATTTGAAACAGAAGTTTTTTTATTGTATTGAATAGCAATTTTTTGCTTTTTGTCACTAGGTCCAAAGTACCTACTGGCTATTCCCAGTCGCTACAGTAATTTTTGCCTTGAACTCAACCCGACCATATACAAGCAATTACCAGCATCGTTAATATTTGTCACAATAATATCGACATATCAACAAGTACGGTGTAGTAGACCATGCTACATTAATCATTAACAAATTGAATGTTATCAGCATCTCTAAGAGTCACATGACATATCTTAATTTGTCATTTTTGTTCGATTGATCGGAATAATTTAATGCACCTTTATAAATCTATCACTTGACCTCGTATGATTAGCAATCGCAAAATATTTTTTATTAATATTTCGAAAGTCCCACTTATGTCATATCAAATTTAATTTGCTACGTCAAAACACTTTATAATTGTTTTTTAATTCAATATTTCCTTTCACTATGAAGATTCGTATAAATATTTTTTTAACTATCAAATTATCATTTAACCATACACGATACATTCGCCTTGACCTAAGAGAAGAGACATTAAACAGAACAAATGACACGCCTATCATTTCGACACTATTGTTAGTGAAAACAAAATATCGATAAAGTACTGATCAAGTTTCGATTTGCATATCACTCATGTAACTTAAAGTTCCACCTCTATGTACTCGCAGTTTCATGGTCAACGATACATCAAGTTTGGTATCATAATCACAATCATAATATCGAGGTGATATGTGATACATAACATTTTATTATAGAACACTTATGTAAAGTTACATACGTATATAACTGTCAAAAGTTCGAGGTTAAAACTATTAAAATTAAAAGAAAATCATACATTTCATGTTACCGTTATGTTGATAATTTGGCTAGTTCATAAAACAGCCGCAGGGTACGTAAATGCGTGACGAATAATACGCTATGATCGTGACCACTTGGCTGTCTCAATTACACTCTCATACAAATTGTTTGAACTATCTATATATGGTGACAGTAGAAAAATATTAACAAATGGGTCATGGAGATGAATAAGATACGAGTGTGTTTAATTTTCACACAATAATATTGTTGACACGAGATACGCAGTGTGATTGCAATTGTTGTTCTCATTTAAAACTGTTATCTTTCACAACTTTTCGTTTGTAGAATAAATACTAAATAATATGCTGAGCTATGGTGACTAGTAGATTAGACTAAACATATGACTGTAACTTAATAATTCAAAAAATATTTTATACATTAATTGAACGATTTTATGTCCGAACACACTAAAGGCACTGCTTTGAAAATCAAAAAGCCGCTACTCGATCAGTAACTAGTTCGTATGTCAAGGTTAATGTATTGATCTGTTTTGCATATTGGCCTTTTAACGATATTGAATGTAATGTGTGATACATTTTACGCTCGGCCGCTTGCGGGTCTGCGACCGCGTGGGAAAGGCCGGACGTAGCAAGAATTGTCGGATTTCACGTTATTGTAAGCTGCATTATGTTATTGCAATGTTCTATGTTCTATTGTTATCGTGAAGTGAGATCGTTTGAGATCGCTTATTATCTCCGCGGCTATGTTTGTACTAGGAGATTAGATAGATGGCTGGAGGCAAATTAGTCTTAGATAGCTACTGGTTACGATACAATTTAGTGTGTCAACTTTATTTAAGTTGACATTGTACGACAAGGAGATCGAGGAAATTGTTATCTTGTAAACCTTACTTAAATATTCATTAGGACATTGTAATTAATATGATTTAAATTGGTCATAAATTCGGTCATATTTATAATTAATTGTCGGAGTGAACCTGGGGTAAAAATGAACCAGTTTTTTGAATGCGCTAATCTTTTGGATTAGCATTTGTATTTTAAAACTTTATGTATTTGATCGACTCCAAAGAGTACAAAGTACTATATCAAAGTGAGGATTGTTGTATGTATGTATGTATGTCACGGGCTACGGGTGTATCGCAATGCCGCAGACAGACATGACAAAAGCTCTCGGTTGCATTACAATAGTGTTGTGACAAGTACCCTGATATAAAGATACAATACCTCGCTGGCTGGACCTGCTCTAGTACCGATCATTGTTGAGAGAAGAGTAATGGGCTATTGTATACTTTACGTAGTACTTTCGCACTAAGGCAAATATAAAAAAAATAAATTTTGAAAAGGGGTTTTTTGGCAAATACAAATATATTTCTCAAAACTGACCAGTTGCCATCTAGCACCTAAATATTTGACCGTAAATATAATACCTAAAAGTGTTAGGTACAAGTTTTTGAATCGTAAGAAATTCAATTCTTAGCAAAGACATATTATTCATAGGCATATAATTTAAAACCTGAATGATATAGAAAACAAGATTTATATGTATGTTGTATAAACTTGACCGGGTCATGTTTTTATACAAATTATGTAATACTTATATTACATGTCGTATATTTAAAATAATTTAAACGTATCCAAATGTTGAGTATAAAAATAGTAACCGACTAACGACGGAAGAAATGCCTTGTTTTGCTTTCATACAACCAAAATAGATTAAGAAAAAAAATATGGAACTATTCAAATCATTTTTGCAGAACTCAAACTTAACTATATACCTATATATATATTGAACATCTACACGATGGTTATTTTTACTATTGTTCCTGATGACGAATTATAATCCCTACCACATTATCTTAATACTATTCAAATACTGACCTGCACTATAGAACCGACAAGAAGACCGAAGGCAAGTGCGATGCTGGTGACCTGTGGTGCATTCGAGTCTGTGATGGTGATACATGCTGCTACACCGATAGACACCAGCGTGAAGGTACCGACCAGCTCCGCGACCAACTGCCTCCATATCAGCTTGTTGTCTGTCACGTCTGACAGACCGATGATTGAGGAGGTTCCTGGGGAAAAGGAGAAATTGATTTGTTAATAAATGTTTGTTTTTAATTAAAAAATGAGTATAGTCATATTTACTTTATAGTCTGCGTAAATAAATGCGTTTTCTACCTACAGCTATTGCGCGACGTAGAGAAACAAAGTGCATAGTGGTAAACAGTGATGATTTTCTAATTAACCAAAATGAAAAAATAAAATTAATACTAATGTTATGTATAAAAATTAAAACTATTAACATTCTACTTTGTATTTGTAATAGATGAATAGTATATAGATATTAATTGGATCGCCATGTCGACTATTAACTAAAAGAAGTAAGCGTAGGTACTGTAGACCTGACATAAATAATCGCAGTATCAATAACTGTACTACTGTCGACACCAGTAAGAGTGTAAAGTCTAGAGTACAAACCTAAACTATACCTAAAAACCTGTCTATGCCTATAAACCGTATCGATTGAAGATTCGATACAAATCTAAAGCTACATTAAGATGTGCTGGAACTGATGCCAAGTAAATTAGGAAATTCCCGCATCTGTCTCTAATTTGAAGGAACAAATACGATTCGTTCGCAATTTAAGGAAAAACACTAAAAAGCGAATCGTGGATAAGATGAAAATAAGGAAACAATTTGTATTGAAACAAAAAGTGAATTTGAATATCTGTTTCGAAAATACATCATTATCTACATTGCTTTTTTGTATTAAGGTAAAATGTGCATTTTACACGACAATAGAGGTAGAAATGAGTAAAGCCTAATTTATAGAACAAAGTAAGTGCTGAAACCACAAAACGACCTAATAAAGGTTAGCCAAAGTACTCAAAAGTTTTGACTAAATAATAATAAATTAACAGTTAGGCACGAAAACAGATGAACAACTGTGTAAACGTAATGCATTTGATGTTTATTATAACCAATTATAGGTAGGTACTTCTTACAGTTCTAAGTCTTAAAACAAGGAAAGGTTAACCCGGCATGACAATGTAATTCATAAATATTTATTTCTTCAGATACGTACAGAAAAGTACGTGACTTAACATTAATAACAATGTTACCTACATTATATATTTCTTAGAGCCGATTTCTCCAACGCCAGATACATTATAACTAACGAATAACTTTGAATATTTGACAATTGTTCCATACTAAAAACTGACAAACGTCAATTTTATTCTACAATTAAGAATTAACTGATTATTGAAAAATCGGTCCTTAGTCATTTAAGAACAATTTTTTTCAGTCATTGAATCCTCCAGTTACTTCAGCTTAGTATGTTTTTATCAAGTAAGACATTACACATTAAAACTTCTAACAATTGAATAAACATTCAATGATAAAATATTTATTTTATACGTAAAAGACTTGTGTCAGTGCCAAATGGTGGTTTATAGAAATTGTCATTGTAAAATTATTAATTTTAAATAGGAACATTAATTTACTAGCTGTGCCAGCGACTTCGTATAAAATCACCATTTCACTCTAAGTAACTAAGTCACTACGTAGGATAGTTCTTCATGATAATATGTAGCCTACATGTTGACCCCACTGGTTAATAATATTCATCTAAAATTTGAAGTAAAAAGCATCCAGTACTTATTGAGTTTAGCCCAGATACAAATACAGATAAACAGACAAAAGCTATAAAAACTATATTTTTGACTTCGATATCGATAGTAGGTCACTCCCCAAATATTCTTTAAAAAAAATCGTATACATTTTTGACTTTCGTACGATTTTATTATATGTATGTATAGTATTATAGATTTTTTTTTAATCGTCAATCCTTGAAGAATTTATTAAATGTGTGAACTTGATCAACAAAAAGTTTTTTGAATAAGGTATTCAAGACTATTGAATTACATGCAGTTGACAGTTTAATTTTGATTCAGTTATTTTTATTGAGGATTTTACTATTTTTTTTTTACAAAATACCGATAACAATATAACTTAACCGATTTTATGCTATCGAGCGATAAATCGTTTTCTACTAGTCCATGGAACTAATGTTTCATAACGAAACATAAGAAATCTTTTCCTTTAAAAAAGTGCGATTTTATATGATTGTAGTTGTATATATTTTTTTAATTTTGTGATTGTAGTGCTATTTTTGTGGTAGCAAAGTACCTACTATATGTAGTTTGATATGCTAGTATGCCATCCCTAAAACAATGGCAGAGGTAAGTCAAAAAACCTGACCATGTTCAAATACCTGAGTATTTTAAGATACTACGCATTTTAAATAATTATCGTCATTATTAAAATCGAGTTTTTTTTCTGTACACGTGTAATTAAAAGGTATTTTAATAATGATTACATTTATATGAGGAAATGATTAATTCTCTATTAGTTATTAATCATTTTGTAGCAAAAATGAGCAAACCCGTCTGGAAATCAGGTGTTAAATCTAACTTTTCGTATAATTTGACGTATTTACATTATTTTCAATAACTTCGTATAAAAAATAATATAAATTATCGTAGTTGTATTATTATACAATAAATTGTAGTATAATATCGTATAATAATTTTTTCAGTGTAAAAGTTGTAAACTTAATTAATGAAAAATATCTTGATTTAACATTATCACACATATTTAAATACGGGCCTAATTACAAATTCACGAAGATAAGTATGGAAATAAATATGTAAAATTTTCATATAGATTTAACTACATATAATTACATATGTATACGAAGTTTGGAATTATGTGGGTTATTAACTCGAATGTTTATCTTAAAATTATGTCAATGCGGCTCTCAACAGTTTCACTCTCCAAAGGTAAATAAAAAAATAATTCTTACTATATAGCTATACCGTTTAAGTAATAGGAATACTAATTTAAATTTTATACCAAAAGTTCTAGAAATATTTTGTTTAAATAACACGTGAAACTCCTGCGCATGCCATCATTAGTATTCATTGAAAATACTCAATGATATACTACAACCACTCACTTAATTTATTACGATAAGATACATTGAATTTAAATTTTTATTTTGCGGTTAATTCATTAAAATAAACTTACGTAGGTAGTACAAGCAATAAAAATACATTAAACATACGACTGCGCATGCGCCAATGACGCTTGACTATCTCACGCAGCGTTTGTTTACATGTAAATATTTATATTGTATTGGAGCTATAATTTTTTAATTGAACGCATTATTATATATTGAATAAAAATAAAATAAGAGTTTATCAATTTAATTAGTAATTTCAGCCGTTATTCTAAGCCTATACATATGCGCATACGCATTATACAGTTTGCACACAATCGCACGTTTTCTCAATAAAATTCATATCTATTCACGGTTTAATAAATGTAATGGACAAATATAAAAGACTTACTCTTCTGCATCTCATCCATAGCGTAATCCGTTTTCATTTTGTCGGTTTCAAAATAACTTTTCTATGAAATAAACACTTTCGAGTTCAGTCCCCGCTGTTATAACTTCACCGACCGCACTATTTCGAAATTCGAATTAAATAAAACACCGTGAAAGTGTAATTTGATTTGTAATTGAAAAATTCCGAAGACGCTCGCTGAGAGCTGTTGTGTTTCGTAAGGCGTGCGTGTAAGACTACCTTTCCTCGTGGCTACATACACTTGAGTGCGCGAGATCTCGCTTGGGGATGACAGGTACAGCACTACAGACGCCGGGCGGCGAGTGCACCTTACTTTTTATTCTATGTATCGTGAACCTAGATGTTAGCGAATTAATTCAGAACTGGCCGTCTGACGTCATAATTGCGGAAACAAAATAGTTACGGAATAATACGTTCGACTTAATTATGTTCTCTGGGCTTATTCATAGATTGATATGGGATTTTCGCAAATCGTTAGTTTGTCTCGAAGTTTCTTAACGATGGAAAATTTTTCATAATTGATTATGACCCATGCAGTGCCAGTTTGATAAAAAAAACGAACGAACCTATTCCGAAAAGATTAGAACGAAATAACCTATTCCGAGACTTTCTAAAGTACCTTTATGGATTGTTTTTAAGAATAACTTACCGATTACTCTATATTACAAAAAAGGACTAAAAAGTCAGAAACACAAATAAATAAGAGTTGGTCCGAGGATGCGTCCCTGAGTTATCCCACAATATTTTTAATAGGTACAAAGTAAGATACCAAGTTTGCACAAAACCATCCTCCTCTTATTTACATTATATCAGGTTAAAGAATCTGTGGCTAACCAAACTATTACTGGCACAATTTAAAGTAATTGTGTCTGATAAAGTACCGGTTTCGAAAACGATGGAATGAAGGAGATAATGCTTCATTTATTGCTACGATGTAGACAATCACATTGACGAACATGTACATATGTTACAGATGTATGTTCTATTGTATTTCTGTACTCTATGACAACAATATATCAATCACTGCTCCACTGCTCAACAAAGATCTATTCCTAATATCTAATGTTTCTATTGTTTACTCGCTTGCCTAGGTGGCTGACCCTTGGATAGCTTTCTCCTGCGCTGTGTTGACTGTCACTGCCTTGACTGTGAAGAGCCTCATATGTTCATCTACTTCATCATTAACGACTCCAATGGATTTATCGTCAAGGCATTCATGTCAGTGACCCTTGAACGGCTTTCTCATAAGTAGTAAATACTACATGTACACACTGCTTCGTTGGTCTAGTGGTTAAATGTTTCGTATCCCATTATTCCCGATTATAATTTCTTCAAAAAAAAATGGATGTTCTCAGTTTGTGACCTGTATGTATGAATGTATGTGTTTGTGCGCGATTATCTCGCGACCAACTGAAGCAATTTTGATGCGCTTTTCAGAATATTGTTTGTTTCACTTAGGAAATGGTATATTAATTACCCGACTTCCAAAAAGAGGGGGTTGAAGTCGTTTTTTTAAAGGTATTCTATAAAAGAATTGTTACGTTAAGACATATTATTTAGTAGAAATTTTACTATGTGCACAACTTGCAATAGCTTTGATTCGATTGCCATAAAGTCAATGATAAGTTACATAATATAAT